ATATTGTTAAGTACAAGAATATACGACATACACTGCCCCTGATTCTACCTTTAATTCGAGTTTCGATTTTAGGCGAGTAATGTGTCGTAATAAAAAAACAAAAAATTTCCCAGTAGTCACGTGATGCTATCGGACTTCTTTAATGTAATTTACCATGCTACAGGGGTTAAGGGCAACAACCCTATTAACGCTCAAATTGATTAAAAAACCCATCGAGAATGTTTGTCTTACAACCTTTCTGCGTTGAGATTTTCCGTACACACAAATTGTTCAGACAAAGCAACTTTGTACATCAGGGAACATGACTGAACGGATTGTAAGGAAAAGTTTATACAAAAAAAAAAATCTGACGAAACAAAAAGTACAATAAAAATTGTGTGATGAAAAAGATAAAACGTTGTATGCACTATAGACAAAACAGGAAGAGAGGAAAAGGTAATATACACGATTTGATGACACAAAATCGTTTATGTTTGTACGTTGTATGTAATGTTATATGCTGAAGAACGCTTAAAGTGTGTATGAACTGAAAAAACCCAACTCCCGAAGTTCTATAAAACGTACAGGGTACGTATTGTGCCACCCCATAGAAAGACTTGACTGCACGCAGCCAAATGTTTGTTCAATAAACGACCAAGAAGTAGGAGACTTAGAAGGGGAGGGGGCAGGGGAGTAGGAAGTCGGCGGTTGTCTTAGTGTCCAACCAGACCCTTTTTTGTGGAGAAGGGTTTCGGCACTGAAGGATAACTCTCGGTACGGCGACCCGTCATCCCAATTTGGTTAAACCGTCTGATGATTTGTACGTCTCTTTGCATGCCATACAAAACTTTCTATTGGTAATGGCAAGTTCGGATCAGAAATCTACACTGTACGCCGAGGACTGCATAAGGGCATTTTCCCACTGTTTGTAAATGAATCAGAAATTTTAACTGGAGAACGGACGGAACCAAAATTTCTATCTTCTTTTTCGAAATTTTGCTGAGTTTGTCAACCCCGTACTTGCCACTTTTTTTTGGAGTTAAGTGTCTACTTGAGGAGGGGTAAGGGCGTATTCGGGGAGAAGGGAGGTGAGTCTTTCGTACAGCAAAAATAAATACATGATATGCAGAAAGAGCATGAGCAGCATACAAGCATTTACCACATGGCAGTACAATGTAGCAGCTATGATATATAAAGTGCAAGATAAGATAAAAAGCGCTACATAAAAGTGCAAGAGGTAGATACCCCTGTGTTAAAGTGCATTTATTTAGCGGTGATTACACGTCTGTTTGTTGCTCAACCATTCTTTTAGTTGACCTTTAAAACTATTGAGAGTGGGACAATCCCGTATCTCAGATGGGGGGCTATTCCAGAAAGAGCTGCCTTTAACGGAGAGGACATTTTGTCCAAAAGTGGTCCGTCTATGGTGGACTTCACAGTCTCCTCTGGTTTCTGACCTAGTGCAGCGTCCAGTGTGTTTTCTGTGGATGAATTCCCCTAAGGGAGGGGGGGCAGTCCATGTAAACATTTATAAAAAAAAAACATACTTTTAAAAGACTTTAAATTGTCAAAACTCAAGAAATTGTGTTTTTCAAGGATGGTGGTATGAATTTGGCTTTCTGTCAAACACCTTGATAGCTCTCTTGTACAGCTGTTCTATGGGTTTCAGTTTTGTGGCACAAGCAAACGACCAGTTTGTAAAACAGTATTCAATGTGGGATAGAATCATACAGTGGAGGTATGATTTTGCAGCGTTGACAGTTAAGAAAGGTCTAATTTGTTTAAAAACACATTAGATCCTTCGATTTTGACTGGTCGTTTACTGAACATCATGCATACTGGTTTTTTTTGCATTTAACTGTAAGCAAATGTTGTTCAGCCAGTGTTGAACCTTGTCCAATGCAGTTGAGAGACAATATGAGATTATTTCAGTGTTTTGCCCGTGTACAAAGATGACCGCATCATCGGCATACATTTGTACATTCAAATCAGGACATACATTAGGCAAGTCATTAATGTACAGAGAAAACAGTAATGGTCCAAGAATGGAACCTTGTGGAACCCCAACAGGGTTCACAAGGTAGGGGGATTTGGCCGTTGACCAAAACACACTGTTTTCTGTTCGATAAGTAAGACTTAAACCAATGTATTGAAACTGCCGAAAAATTGAAATAAGTCAGCTTTGTAAGGAGCACTTGGTGGTCAACAGTGTCAAAAGCCTTCCTGAGATCAAGGAAGACAGCACCTATGGGCTCGTGTCCAACATACATTTAACCTTTTCCACAAAGACACAGTTAGCTGTCTCAGTGGAGTGGTGAGCACGGAAACCAAACTGCATTGGGTGGAGTGGAGCGAAACCTTTGTTTAAATGTTTGGTGATTAGTTTTGACACCCATTTCTCAGCTATCTTAGAGGCACAGGGGAGGATGCTGATAGGTCTATAATTGGACATCATTGCCTTATCCCCATTATGTGTTTCTATAAAGTTGGTGTCCAAAAGTAACACAGAAGTAAAGTGCAGAAGCAGTATTGTGTCTTGTCAGGTTAGTGGCATTTTTGAACAAGGGGAGAAAGAATGTTTCACATTCTGGGGAAATCATGTAGAAACCCTGTGTCCATTTCGAACTTTGACTGAACAATAATAATGTTAGTCTGGCCAGGTCAAATTGCCTTGAATAACAGTGATTCATGCCAAGTGTTTATTTTTCAAACAAAGGCAGCACTGTATTGTGAGGAAAGGAGTGAAAATAAAGGATGAAAGACAGAGACACAAGAGTTATCAAGTATCTTCACCAGATATTCCTTCCTGTATAACTTAAAATACACTATCTTACTGTTACACAATCTGTTTTCACTGCAGGCATTTTCACTTGCCATAAACAAAATACAGCTAAATGAAATTCAATCCGTTCCTGCACCTGTTCCTATCCAGCTGTAGCCACGTGTTCGGTGAAAACTACACATAACCCAACCTGCAAAGCACAGTAAGCATTGTTTACTTAGCGATCAAATGTCAAGGCCACGGAAACAGGTTTGGAAACAGGTGTTTTGTAATGCCAAATAGTGCAAAAGATTAAGGATAGGCCAACTACTGGACTTTACAGTCATGTTATGCCTACACTGATAACTATGTATGGGCAAAGATTGGAGGGACTACTGGTCTACCTGCATGTGCCATCCGACCTCTGCAGCTCATCCAGAATGCAGCGGCTCGTCTGGTCTTCAACCTTCCTACATTTTCCCACACCACACCGCTCCTCCGCTCCCTTCATGCTTCCAGTAACTGCTAGAATCCACTTCAAGACAATGGTACTTGCGTACTATGCTGCGAATGGATCTGGCCCTTCCTACATCCAGGACATGGTTAAACCGTACACCCCAGCACGTGCACTCCGCTCTGCATCAGCCAAACGGCTCGCTGCACCCGCACTGCGAGGGGGACCCAAGTTCCCATCAGCAAAAACACGTGGGTTTGCTATCCTGGCTCCAAAATGGTGGAATGAGCTCCCCATTGAAATCAGGACAGCAGAAAGCTTACACATCTTCCGGCGCAGACTAAAAACTCATCTCTTTCGACTCCACTTCGAGCAATACAATTACTTACAAAGCACTTATATACTAATGAAGGACTGGCCTGTTGAGTACCTGATGTACTTATCCCTGATGTAACTCTATATAATTAATGTCTTCTTCAAGTTTGTAAATCTCTTGGTCGATGGAATTATTGTAAATCGCTTTGGAATAAAAAGTGCCAGCTAAATGCAACGTAATGTAATGAGGGAGAAATAATTAGATTAATAACTACAATATGTACTTCTGAAATAGCAATATAAAGAGATTAGAGCACCATTGACAAGGGTACTTCTGGTTGACTGTTTAAAAATGACCACTATAATGTCTAACAACATTATATCAACTCTAAATGTAACAAACTAATCTAGAGTATTAAAATAAATGCAGAATATACTAATCTATAAAATGTTTACTACAATTGTAATATCTACTGAAACAAGCTCTCAGACGGCAGGT